TGGCCATGTGCTTCTCACAGACTGTGTGGAGCTACATCATCGTCTACTTCAGTGAGCTCCTAACAAACTGGTGACACAGCCAGCCGCCTGGGAGTCACCGTGAAAAAGAACTCGGTGTCAGTTTGAAGCTTTACATAAAATTACATCAGTTAACTAAAGGTCTTGAAAGTGCACTTTATAATTTTGGAGTCTCCTTATCCTGTGATTAAACTCGTTTTTTATAAAATACATTGCTTATTGAATTTTCATGATGAATGTGTCAGTATATGACTATGAGGCCAGGGCCCTGAACATGCGAGGCACCGAGTCATGTCCTCCCCAGTTCCGGATAAGTAGGTGATCTTAGAATCCATTTCTCGGGAGAAATCTCTTAAATTAATAAATAGGTTATGTTGAAAGTTGGTTTTTGTTTTTTTTAATGATTTATATACTTAAATGATTTAGTGATTTTTCTAGTTTCATTCTTGTACTGAGTGTGCGATATTCTTTTTCCTTCTGTATAAGATTTAAGAAACTCAGCAGAAATGCCAATTCCTGTTAATCTTATGCTTTCCTTCTGTTTTGGAGTTTCTGTTGGCTGTTTTTGGGTTTTTAAGACAGGGTTTCTCTGTAGCTTTGGTGCCTGTCCCGGAACTAGCTCTTGTAGACCAGGCTGGCCTCGAACTCCCAGAGATCCGCCTGCCTCTGCCTCCCGAGTGCTGGGATTAAAGGTGTGCGCCACCACCGCCCGGCTGTTGGCTGTTTGAAATACATAGCCTAGGCTAGTCTGGAAAGTGTCCTGTGTGTAGTCCAGGCTGGCCTCAAATTTTCTAGACCTCCTGCTTTTGTCCCCTGCCTGGATTTCAGTCACATAGGCTTTCCTTTCCCTTCCATTAACTAAACATAAAAAGTTTAGACCTGTTGAGTACTTGCCTGGGGCTAAGCACTGTTCTATACTCCCAAGACAACCCTGTTATCCTGTATATCCTGTATCTTATGTATGTGGTGTGTGTGTGTGTGTGTGTGTGTGTGTGTGTGTATGTGTGGTGGTGGTGGTGGTTTGAAAAAGGACCCCTTAGGAAGTGTGGCCTTGTTGGAAGAAGTGTGTCACTGTGGGGCTGGCTTTGAGGTCTCTTTTGCTCAAGTTCCCTTCAGTGTGACAGCCAGTTGACTTCCTGTTGGTTAAGATGTAGCACACTCAACTCCAGCACCACATCTGCTTGCATGCCTCCGTGCTACCGCCATGATGATGATGGACTGATTCTCTGAAACTAAGCAAGCCATTCCAATTAAACGTTTTCTTTATGAGTTGCTGTAGTCATGGTGACTCTTCAGAGCAATAAAAACCTTAACTCAGACAATATGTGATGTCCCAGGGAATGAAACATCATTTAGCTTATACTGGAATTGAACTGTTACAAGCATGCATGTATATATAAGTGTCTGTCAGGTTTCTGGCTTCCAGATCCGCAGGTAGGCAAGGCTGACCTTGAGCTTGGTCCTCCAGGGTGTTTGGATTACAGGCCTGTACTACCACACTCGGCAGAAACCCTCTATAAACATCAATATTTACTTGACTCTTAAACATTTAGAATCAACCTGCATAGGATGTCATTCTAGTTGACTGAGCTGGACACCAGAGGTGAGCAGTGTAGGTTGGGTTGCCTTTCTCAGGTGCTCTCTTGGTATAGATGGTATTTCTCTGCCATCTGAGTATGGTTGGCACCTTTGGTTGATTAGGAAACTCAACGATCATTTAGGAAATGATTATTCCAAAAGGACGTTTAATCGGTAAATGAGAGGTGTACGCCTTCTTAAGTGTCTCGGAAACAAGGCTGTTTCTCAAAGGTTAGCACCCTAAAGAATTTCTTGGACATTTGATTATGATGTGAGTGAATACACATTTACACATTGACTTTAGGGAAATTTTTATGGAGATATCCGCTCCCACAGAGTATTCAGAGTGGGTAGAGACTCAGTGTCTTCCCTCTGCTTCCAAGCCTGTCGAATGCTTGAGTAAGATAGGTTCCCATCTGCATAATCTCTACTTAGTTATGCAGGGTGGAGGCTTACAGTGAGTGAAGCAGTGGAGAGCATAACCAGGACATGGTGTGGAGAACTTAGCTGGTTGTGTGCGCGCATGCGTGGTTGAGGACGAGTTTGGGCGTTTGTTCCTGCCTTTTATCTTGTTAGACTGCCGAGTGCTGGAACTGCTTTCCTTCTTTCCTCATATGCCTGACTTGGGGGTTATTCTTGAACAAAGCAACATTTTCTCTGTATATTCTAATTAGATGGTGCTCAATTTTTTTTTTCCTTAACTGACATTATATCTACTATTTTGGTCTGCTCTCCCTGGTGATTTGCTGTTTTATGGTGTAAAAATTATTGAATGCAGTTCCCTTCTGCTCCATGTAGATTGTGAGCAGGGAGTCTCTGAATTTTTATACTTGATATCCGTTCTTATTGTATATAGTTTTGTATTGGGTTTTGAACTCTCTTATTTAGATAAAAGGGAAAAGTGCTGTGGGAACTTCTTCAGCCAATGGCCTTTGAGATGCTGGACCACTTTGGGTGTGGCCTTGGGTACTATAAAAACAGATATTAAAAAAACGTGAGCAGCCCCCCCCCCCCAGCTGTGGGATTCAGTTCCTGCTCCTGCAGAGGACTGTTGATCTGTGAGTCTATCCCTAAATAAAGAACCCTTTATTATACTCTATTCTGAGCTAGTGTGGGGACTACTTTATCACAATCCACTACAGATGAAGATTCCTCATGTTTTCTATGTTGTGGATTTCTTCTTTTTTTTTAAATTTTTTTATGATTTATTTATCTTTATTTTATGTGCATTGGTGTGAAGGTGTCAGATCCCCTGGAACTGGATTTTTAGACAGTTGTGAGCTGCCATGTGGGTGCTGGGAATTGAACCCGGGTCCTCTGGAAGAGCAGTCAGTGCTCTTAACCGCTGAGCCATTTCTCCAGCCCCCTGTTGTGGATTTCTTATCCTGAAACCTACTAACTTATTTTTGATTCAAATTTTACATTGACTCTAGGCTGGCTTCAATCACAAGAATCCTCCTGCCTCACCCTTCCAAGTTCCAGTATTATTATCATTATTATTAGTGTGCATATGTTCATGTGATTGAATGTGAGATCAAAAAAGTGTTTTTCTCAATCTTTTTGTTTGTTTGCTTGTTTGAGACAAGATCTCACTATGAAGCCCTGGTTAGTCTAGAAATCTCTCTGTAGGCTGGCTGGTCTAGCACTCACTGTGTAGGCTGGCTTTGAACTCACAGAGCTTTCTTTGCCTCCTTAATACTGACATTAAAAGCGTGCACCACTGTGTCCAGCTTCTTAAAAGGGTGGTCGAGATAGAGGTCAAACCTTCATGTTTGTGCACAAGTACTTTACCAACTAAGCCTTTTCCCAAGTCCTAGGATGATGTGGGATTCCCATCTGTATGCTGTGAATATGTTTTATTACCATTGGTTAATAAAAAAGCTGTTTTGGCCAATGACTTAGCAGAGTAAAGCCAGGCATGAAATATGAACAGAGATAGAGAAAGTAGGCAGAGTCAGAAAAGACGCCATGTAGCTGCCAAAGGAGACAGATGCCGGAACCTTACCAATAAGTAGGCTACAGCCTCGTGGTGATACATAGATAAATAGAATGGGTTAATTTAAGATGTAAGAATTAGTTAATAAGAAGACTGAGCTAATAGGTTAAAGAGTGTTGTAATTAATATAGTTTTTGTGTGATTATTCAGGTCTGGGCAGCCGGGAAACAAACGTGCAGTCTCTGCTTACACTAGGATGTCTTTAAATGCATAGGATTGTTAAAGAATCTATTTTATTTTATTTTATTTATTTATTTTGGTTTTTCGAGACAGGGTTTCTCTGTGGTTTTGGAGCCTGTCCTGGAACTAGCTCTTGTAGACCAGGCTGGTCTCGAACTCACAGAGATCTGCCTGCCTCTGCCTCCCAAGTGCTGGGATTAAAGGCATGTGCCACCACCACCTGGCTAAAGAATCTATTTTAAAATGCAGTTAGCAAAACCTGGTGTCCTAGTTCAAGCCTGCTCAGGCAAGAGGATTGCTGCAGGTTCCAGGCCAGCCTGGGATACAGCACAAGAGACCCTATCTCCAGAAAAGAACACTGAGCCCATACAGTTAGCAAATGATATAGTAATATATACTTTTCAATATAATCATGGGGAGCTGGGGATTGGCTCTTGGTTGATAGTACTTTCTTTATGTATGAGACCCTGGGTTCAGTGCCCAGCATTGCATGAATAAGGCTTCATGGCACATAGCTATAAGCCCAGTGCTCAAAAGGTAAAGGCAGTGGTGACCTCAGGAGTTCAAGGTTATTCTAGGTTAGTCTGCATGAGACCATGTGTGTTTGGGTGTGTGCATGCATGCATGCTTGTGTGTGTATGTATAAGTTTGGCAACATGGTAAATCTCTTGGCACTAAATGCAGTTGATATTTAATAGATCTACTGCGCCTTTCGTGGCATGAGAGTAGCTGATTTTTATTGATTTGAGAATTACAGGTACTATGGCTTATATCCAGCACTCACGATGAAAGAATGCATTGAATGTTACAGTCAGAAAGTAGTGAAAACATGAGAGTTTCCTTCCTTCGCAAGTTCCCTGAAAGCTATCGTGAGCCCCTTGGCTGTGATCTCAGAACAAAAATATCTGGACTAAAGCTCTGTTTGTGCCCTGGGAGGCTTAAGCTGAGGAAAGGGAGCTCGGGAGTGAAACATAGTCATCAGAACAAATGAATTTATCTGTCTGTTTTTGTGGTTTAGAAAATTTCAGTCATTTAAGAATGCCAAGTCCGTGTGTCTTGGGCATACCTGGGGGTTGGCGTGCTTTTTCCCTGGGCTGCATTCCCTCATTACATCTTGTGCAGCTAAATTAAAATTCGTATTTTAAGTATTTCTTAAATTCTGTGTTGGCTACTGGTGTGTTTTTCTTTTGTAAGTTTTGTTCCTTAAAACGTTTTAATTCTTCTGCAGGATTCGGAAACTTCAGATACGAAATATCCCGCCCCACTTACAATGGGAGGTAAGACCTTCTATATTTTAAGCTAAGATCTTAGTTTCAGAGTCTAGTGTTTTGTTTTTCCAAAGATTTTTTTTTCTCCTTCCTTTAGCTCTCAGGTGTGCTAGAACCTAGTTCTTCTCTCTTATGGCTGAGGTATGGACTTTTCTTTGTAGAATTAAACTCCTTAAAACTGTTCTTTGAAATATTTTTAAAAATGCCCAATAGTTGAGAGTAGTTGTTACCTTTCTCATTCAACTCCATCCAGACAGTGTCCTGTTGATCTGAGTTGCCCATTGGAATTAAATATGACATTCTTTCCTTGGCAGAATTTTTTTTTAATATTTATTTATTTATTTATTATGTATACAATATTCTGTCTGTGTGTATTCCTACAGGCCAGAAGAGGGCACCAGACCTCATTACAGATGGTTGTGAGCCACCATGTGGTTGCTGGGAATTGCACTCAGGACCTTTGGAAGAGCAGGCAATGTTCTTAACCGCTGAGCCAGCTCTCCAGCCCCCCCTTGGCAGAATTTTTAAAAGACATACACTTGCTACTTAATACTTTATTTTAAAATGTGATTCTACTTTTTGCTTAGAGAGTGGATCTGCAGTGATCGTGTATTAACAAAAACTATGTAGCACAGTTGGCTTGTGTCAGCATCCACAGCATCACGATAGTGCCATGGTGAGAATTTGAGACACCAGGAGTTGAAGAGGTCAAAGTAAATGATTGTTAACTCTTCCAGACCATGAACTCTGGAAATTAAAAGAAAAGGAATCTTACTATATGTTTATTGCGTGGATCTGTGCACTTTCTTGTGGAGGCCAGCGGACCTTTCAGGAGTTGATTCTCTTCTACCCTGGGGACCCAGGGATTGAACTCAGGTCTTCAGGCTTGACTGCAACAGCACCTTTATGGGACCATCTTGCTGGCTTCCCAGAAAGGTTTCAAAACTTGCCTTGAAACTTTGCAAGGGAACTACTCAGTGTCTGTATAGTTAGAACATCAAGAATGACTTGTTTTGTGGTTTCAGATTAGGTTTCTAAATGAATCTGCTGCATCATTAAACCAAAGCGCTTATTAAAATGCAAAGTATGATTTCAAGGTTTCCGTGGCAGTGAGTGAGCTGAGGGAAATTGTTGAGTTTTGACTCCCAAGGTCCCTGCGTAGTATCAAATCATTTGTGCTCAGAATATGCAGTGCTGTCCTGTGACACAGCTGTTGCATCTTGGAAAGGATGCTAGTTCCTTAATATATTTTAAATGTTTTTGTTTCACAGTAAACAACTTTGTGGGTTGAATGGTGATTTCAGAGTAAAGGGCGTGCATTTCCCTGTTTTAGAGTAATTTTTGTTTAGGAATCCATTAGCTTGAGGAGTAGGCCTCAAACTGCTTGTGTAGCATCAAGATCTATTTGAGCTTGGGCCATATTAAATATGTCTTAATAGGATACTGTGCTCAGGAATCACATCTAGTGTGATATGGTTGTCAGTGAGAGAGTCAAATACAGCGGCCAAAAATAGGATCTGTCTGCTGAGCTAGACAGAGTATTCATTGAGACGGTGTGGCTTGTTGTGATGCTTTTCTTTCTTGTATTTTCCCCTTGTTCTGAGTAAAATCTAACTAATAAGGCAATCCATTATTTGCCCTAATTTTTTCTTCATAGTTAATTTTCTCTACTCTCCTTCCACTCCTGCCTCCATCCTTCCATCTGCTTCTCGGTTCTTTTGCAAGGTCTCAGCCTTAGCCTTCAGAGTCCTGGGATTACAGGCATGTGTGTGCCACTGCTCTAGACCCATGTTCTCTTTGAAATTAAAGTAATTACATGAGAATGTAGAAGAACCTTGAATCTAGAATTTAGAGTCTCTTCAGCTTTGATTCTCAAACTTTTTTTTGGTAAGGGAGGGCAGGGTCTTGCCTAACCTCAGACTTTCACAGTCCTCCTGCCTCAGTCTCCTGAGTGCTGGAATTCCTGGCATGTACCAGCAGGTGTGATTAAAAGTCAAATTGATCAGGCTTGTTAAGAGTAGGGTGAGTGTTCAGTTCCTTTCCCTGAAGGCTTGTGTGGCACCATTTATCCCTGCCGTCAGGGAAAGGTCACTTTGTGTATCGTTGTCTCTGTGCCGTGGGTATGCTCACTGTCTTGTGCCAAAGCCTTGCTGTAGACAGTGATAACTGTGCACTTCCCGTCCAGGTTCCGTTACAATGGAAGGATTAGACTCTGAGTCCACTGATTAATCTTAGGATCACAGAGAGTGGAACAGCCAGACATTATGTGACTCATGATTGTATGAAGGAAATTCATTACACAGACAAAATATTCCTGTGTAAAAAAGGAGATTTGACTACATACATTCTGTTTTAATTAAATTTTGCAAGAAATATGGATGGTGGGGTATAGATTAAATGATAACCACACCTGTGGTATGAGATGTTTCACAGCATAAACAATGTTGTTTTGATAGACAACCAATGGCCTGACAAAGGGAAGGAGATTTTAGAACACGACTTGTGCACATGCCTGTAGTAAGCTGTGAGCTGTGTACAAGCTCAGTGCAACAGTGTACAGGAAGCATGGCAGCTTGTAGGGAGACTAAATTGTAGCCTAGCATCATGACTTTGTTTCTGAACACACACACACCATGGCATACATGTGGCAGTTGGAGCTGATTCTTTCCTTCTACCATGTGGTCCCAGGATTTGACTCAGGTTTTCAGCTTGGCAGCAAGTGTCTACCCACTGAGCCATCTTGTCAGCCCTGAACACACTTAAAAAATATCTGAGACTTGTTGGGCGGTGGTGGTGCATGCCTTTAATCCCAATGCCTGGGAGGCAGAGGCAGGTGGATCTCTGTAAATTTGAGACCAGCCTGGTCTACAGAGTGAGTTCTAGGACAGCCAGGACTGTTTCACAGAGAAACTCTGTCTCAGAAAACAAACAAACAAAGAATCACACCTGCCAAGAGCATTGCACTCTCAGTACTGGGGGAGGCAGAACTTTGTGAGTTCGAGACCAGCCTGGTCTAAATAGTGAGTTCTAGGGCAGCCAGTGCTACATGGTGTGACCCTGCTTCAGAAGGAAAGAAAACTTACATCTGCCGGGCGATGGAGGCGCACGCCTTTAATCCCAGCACTCGGGAGGCAGAGGCAGGCAGATCTCTGTGAGTTCGAGACCAGCCTGATCTACAGAGCTAGTTCCAGGACAGGCTCCAAAGCCACAGAGAAACCCTGTCTCGAAAAACAAAAACAAAAAAACCCCCAAAAAACGAAAACTTACATCTACTGTGACCCTAGAAACAGTGATTGGTCTGTGGGAGCAACCTGTTCATTTATGTGTGTGATAGCATAAGCTCACCACTTCTAAGCCTTAATTAAGGTCTCATGGCCGTCAGGTCTAGCTGGTCCCACAGTGCACACACTAGGCCTTCACTAGGAAGGACATTTGAATGTAGAGAATCATGTGGGATCTTGAGGTTATAGGGATAGGAATAGTAACTGAGGGGAGCAGACATTTAGATCTGTTGGACCCTAGTGTCCAATTACTGTGGAGGAGTCGCCCCAAGAAAACACTCTCACACCACAGTTGTTGTAAAAGCATGAGGATTTTAATTCTGTCACGACAGGGTCTTTCAGCATTCAAGAAGCCAAAGGACCCTGAATAGCTGGCACAGGCCACTTTTAAAGTAAAAAGCCACAGAAACAAGGGGGAATCTGGGGGTTGTTTTTCCAACTATTAGGATTGGCTGATTCAGAGGGCTACTAGCAATGATTGGTCTGAGCCACGGCGAGAGAGTGGTTGCTAGATCAGTCAGGCTAAGGGGGAACATTTTTGTGTTACTTTGACCCCTTCCCAGGGACTGAGTCAAAATATCAGGAACTGAGTCAACACCTAAGTGTTATCTTGCCCCTATTCCAATAACTTGAGTTCTATTTGGAGAACATTCACAAGGACTCAGGGAGATGGAAAGTTCCCAACATTTCAGTACGTGCATGTATAGTTGTTAGGTCCTTTGTTCCCTGGAGAGGGGGGATCACTACTGCTGAAAGGCCTCAGAAATGGTCTCAGAGTTGTCTTAAAGTTCTACAGATCCTAGGAACTTGGAGGGAGAGCTAGAGTAGCTGAGACTGGGCTCTTTGAGCTGTGCAAACCCATGGCTGGAGGCCCATAGTCATCAAAGGCTCAAGCCAACTTCTGGAATGGAGATAGGACCAGAAGGAGCTCATCCTACAGCCTTGCTCTTCCCTACCCCCAGCCTCCCTTCCACCACCCCCCCCCCCCCGCCCCCATGGGGCTGCCCTCTCTGTGGCTAGAAGCTCACAGGGAACAGGTTGGGAAAAGAATGGTTGAAGTTCTCAGAGTCCCAAAGAGAAAGTAGATTTGGGATTTTTTTTTTTGTGTGTGTGTGTGTGTTTTTTTTTTTTTTCGAGACAGGGTTTCTCTGTGGCTTTGGAGCCTGTCCTGGAACTAGCTCTGTAGACCAGGCTGGTCTCGAACTCACAGAGATCTGCCTGCCTCTGCCTCTCGAGTGCTGGGGTTACAGGCGTGCGCCACCATCGCCCGGCGATCGAGAGCTTCTTATCCTGCTGATGCTCTAACCTAGGTGCCGTCCTGCGTTGTTAGTGTTACCACCACCCAGCTTTCCTTTTGTCTTCTTCATTCCCATGACTCTTGTCATCTCATTTCTCTTCCAGCTGAGAGATGAGAAGTGGTTCCTCTCAGGGCCTTTGGGTAACACCTTCTCATACTCTGTGTCAGTAGGGCTTTAATGGTTTCTAGTGATTTCCTTTTTGATGTAAAGCATTCTGAACACCAGGGTGGGAGAATGTTTCTCAACGTTTGTGTCTGTGATAAACTTTTGGAGGGCCTGATTCTGGAACACTAGGAGAGCTTTTCCCCCATGTGTAGGATAGACACAGGAAACAGAATTTCTCGTCATCCTTCCCTTCTCAGCAATGCTGAGGGAGTGCCGTGAGGTGGAAGAAAGGACTGGGTGCACCTTTCTTAGGTGGCCGGCCGGG